TTTTTAATCGCTGAATTTAATTAATTCTTGATTCCCTTTTGTCCGTCCCTGTGGAGACGATACTCGTACTTACACCACTATATTACAATCTATTTTAAGTGCGAGAAAACTCACATCAATATCGCACCTATCATTCTTTTGATTAGTTCAAGTTATTATTTCATCATTTATTTATGTTTAATTTATTCATTGATTGTTGACACAATTTCATCAAGCTAATCGGTAAGTGCGTTAATAAACCTTGGAGTTCACATCTATTCATTTGTAAGGGTACGTAGTTGATATTCTCTTTCACTTATGTTTGATATATAAGTGTGATTTTACGAACAAATAATATCTTGATACAAATAATCAATCTGTTGTAGGGAAGTGAGAGAGCGGTGTTTATTCCATTAGTAAGCCCCCTTTAAATAGGAGGGATTAGGGTTTTACAAGAAATGGACCAATGGGCCAATTAGCTCAATACATATAATCCCTAGGTACACTTTCTATATATAACGAATGCACATAAAGTAATTTCCTTCAATACTCCCCCTTGTGCTGAGTTGTAGATAGAATGATGCACATCAAGCTAGTTGTCGTGTAGGAACCTCGTCAAGTAACAAAAATCCTGTGGGAAAAATAATCCTTGAAGAGAGAGTAGAGTTTTATCTGGACTTCGTTCATCGAGTCCTTTTGGATTCTTTACCTTGATTGTTACTCACAGTTACCTCGTTAAAAACCTTACCAAGTAACAAAAACCCAATGGGAGAAAAATAAAGCTTGGTTTAAGGAAAAGAGTATAACGTGAGGGTGTAAGACCCCCCTGGAGTCTACACCTCCCCTTGATATTTTCATTAATCAGGGGATTTCAGAAAGCTTACACATTCCAATGTTTTTCACATGTTTTTCGAATGTGGCCTTGGGCAATGACTTGGTAAACAAGTCTGCTACATTTTCTTCCGAACTTATTTGATTTACTTGGATCTTGAGGAAGGCCTGTTGTTGCTGATTGTAGAAGAACTTAGGAGATATGTGTTTTGTATTGTCACCCTTGATGTATCCTAATTTCATTTGTTCGATACAGGCTGCATTATCCTCGTAGATGCATGTTGGCTCTTCAGTGGTAGGCTTTAAGCCACTAGTTCCTCGAATGTGTGCAATGATAGCTCTTAACCATATACACTCACGGACCGCCTCATGTAGAGCGATGATCTCTGAGTGGTTCGAGGAGGTAGCCACAAGGGTTTGCTTAGTTGATCTCCAGGATATCGCCGTGTTCCCGATTGTGAAAACATAGCCAGTTTGGGAACGGCCTTTGTGAGGGTCGGAGAGGTACCCAGCATCAGCAAAACCTACCAAGACATCATTTGGGGTTTTCAGGGAGGTGACCGTTTTGTCCTTTGCGACCACAATTCCATTTGTGGTTTTCTTCGTCTCTCCGTAGGGAAAGAATAGTCCCAAGTCACTGGTCCCTTTAAGATATCTAAAGATATTCTTAATACCGTTCCAGTGACGCTGCGTAGGCGCAGAGCTAAATCTAGCTAACAAGTTCACTGAGAATGCTATATCGGGCCGAGTGCATTGTGCTAAGTACAATAATGCGCCTATTGCACTTAGGTATGGAATTTCAGCTCCTAACGCCTCCTCGTCATCTTCCTTTGGACGAAATGGATCCTTTTTAGGATCTAGACTTCGGCCCACCATGGGAGTGCTAGCAGGGTGCGCTTTATCCATGTTAAATCGCCTGAGTACCTTTTGGATATACGCAGACTGGTGGATTAGTACTCCACAAACCTGATGTTCTAATTCAAGACCTAGACAAAATCGAGTTTTCCCAAGGTCTTTCATCTCAAACTCGGATTTCAAATAGCTTGCGGTTTCTCTTATTTCGTCAAGAGTGCCAATTATGTTCATGTCGTCGACATATACTGCTACGATTGCAAATCCGGAACTCGTTTTCTTTATGAATACGCAGGGGCAAAGCTCATCGTTCTTGTATCCCTTCCTAATCAAGTAGTCACTTAGGCGGGTATACCACATCCGCCCGGATGGTTTTAATCCGTAAAGTGAGCGTTTCAATTTTATTGCAAACGCACTCCGTGGTTTAGAGTCACTTGATTTAGGTAGTGAAAGCCCGTCGGGTACTTTCATATATATATATCTCTGAATCAAGATCCCCATAGAGATATGCAGTAACCACATCCATCAATTGCATTTCCAATCCTTCGGAAACTGCTAAGCTGACTAGGTATCGGAACGTGATAACGTTCATTACGGGAGAGTAGGTCTCCTCGTAGTCAATCCCAAGGCGTTGTGAGAAACCTTGCGCCACTAGGCGAGCCTTATACCTTAAGACTTCATTCTTCTCATTACGCTTTCTGACAAATACCCATTTATGTCCTACAGGCTTTACACTTGGTGGGGTTAGCACTACCGGACCAAATACCTGCCTTTTTGTCAGGGAATCTAATTCAACCTGGATTGCTTCTTTCCATTTAGGCCAATCAGCTCTTTGTTGGCATTCTGCCACAGAGCGTGGTTCGATATCATCGTGCTCTATAATTTCTTGAGCAACTGTAGATGCAAATATATCATCGATGTGTATGGAAGATCTTTCCATTAGCACATGTGCATTTTCATAATCCATAGAGATTTCCTTGTTTTCTTGAATCATCTCGATCATCGGAGCGTCCTCCAGTAATGATTCATGGACATAACTATAATCGGAGATAATCTCATGGGATGGATGTTGTTCATCAATGATTAATGGATTAGGTTGTGCCGTACTCGACCTCTTCTTCCTTGGACGAGTATCAATCGAACCAAGTGGTCTTCCTCTCTTCCTTTGAGGAGCCACGGCCTCAACCACACCTCAGCCACGGCCAATTAGCTCAATACATATAATTTCCTTCAACACAATCTTTGTTTTAGACAATTGTTAGATATTCAATATGCTAGTTTTCATGCTAAAGTACACAAGTAAACACATCTATCAATGTTTGTGGCTCACGTTAATAATTTGCGTATTTTCAGATTGATTAGTTTTACATAGACAATAATTATTTATATGCGCTCAAATAAATGTTGTTCACGATCAATAAGAATATTTTTACTTGGCTTGTAATTTGTCCCAGATCAGACCAGACTAGACCCGACTTGGATAGTTATAAAAATACAAAGAAACCAGAGCAGACCAGATCAGACCAGACCAGCAAATTAAAACATCCAAAGTATCTATGTACGCAATTTAGATTTTTTAGATATACTTCTTCACAAACAATTATTGACCGGCTTCTTCACAAGCTACTATGATGACATGATAAATACTACCTCCGTCCCTTTTTTATTGGGACGGAAGAGAGTGACACGAGTTTTAAGAAAAGTGAGTTTGTGTGGTTGATATTAATTGATAAAGTAAGAATAAAGTAAGAATGATTTTGAGCCACACAAACTTTACCAAATAACATATGAGACATTTAAATAGGGACATTCCAATATGATAAAACAGGACATTTAAAAGGGGACAGAGGGAGTAGCTTGCATTCATCCATTTGAAAGATAGAGAAAATCCCGATCTTCTCCACAACTAAATTGTTCACATGCTACAACTTATTCATTCACTTTTTCTTTCTTTTCTAAAAGACAATTGTACTATTCCAAATACACATTTTAAAACGGATTTTTTACAAGAATATTACTAAAGTAAAACTTATTTACATAAGTATGACTATTCATTACTACAACGTAGTGCTGTGGTAACTTAAGTTCAAAACTTGAACATGAATTACTATTATTTCATTACTACTCTAGTAACTAATCATATTTTTGTAAATCATCTTTAATTTGGTCATATTTATGTAATTATTTCTTTTAAAACTACTACGTCCCACTACGATTGGGACGAGAGAAGGTGACACGATTATTAAGAAAAATGAGTTTGTGTGGTTGATATTAAATTGATAAAGTAAGAATAAAGTAAGAATGATTTAGAGCCACACATTCTTTATCAAATTTGGTATGAGAAAATCTTAGTGGGACTTCCCGAAAAGGTAAAATGGGACAATCTTAGCGGGACGGAGAGGGTAGCTTTGAGGACATACACAATATATACTTCATGCATATTCTATTGTATATGCCTTATTTTAATTTTACACAATAAAAAAGTTGACATTAACAAGAATATATACCATGACAGTTTTAAAAAAATATTCAAAAAAACATGACATTGGACACGCTCAAAGTAATACATGAGACCGTGGTAACACTACTAGTAAAACTCTTTTCACTAAATGAATCGTTTTTCATGTACAAATAGGGCTGTGTACATATCAATTTTACACACGATAGGGATAATTCCCCACCACTTTTGAAAAAACTTTGCAATTTTACACCCAATGGCATGTATAGTTAATAGTTTAGTTACTCTTTTTCGTAAAGCTGTAGAAGCAAAACATGTAGAAGCCTCGTCAAGATGCTAGTTTTCATGCTAAAGTACACAAGTAAACACGTATATCAATGGATGTGGACTGCATAAATCAATGTTTGTTCACAAAATAGTGATTTGTGTTTACGGTTTGTCTATTTTCAGATAGATTAATTTTGCACAGAATACAGTTGTTTCTATGCACTCAAATAAATGTTGTTTATATTGTGAAATGAAGAAGATGCAGAATAGATTAAAGAGATAGATATATTATTGATAATCTCTGAATTACTTCTTCTTAATATAAAGATTTCTGAATTGCTTGAATAATAATTTTACAAAGGATTGAATGCCCTATTTATACTAGCCAGACTTGGGATGAATCATCTAGGAATGATTCTACATAATTTACTGGCAACATTAAGCCTAAACATCTGTCTATTACAAGGACTGGAATTGGATTAGTGTCCTGATGACAAGGATGAAACATTCGTCGTTCTCAGGAATTTACAACAGTTTACAAGTTTACAACTAATAAGTGTATATTTACCACTTGCATCTTCTTAGATATTCTCCTACTTCTTAATTTCGCAAACAATTATTGACTGGTTACTTGAGAAGCTACACTGAGAAAGAATATAATGCACTGTCTTCTCCTTCCAAAAGTGGAACTTTACCCATGCTTCCCTGCAGGCTGCAGCTAGCCGAGACGTTGCTCCGTCAGAAACCTCACCATCTCCACCATAGCAACTTTCCATTCTCAACACCTCCCATTACGCCTCTTAAACCAGATTGGAGAGCACAAGTCAAACATGCCCAATTGGTCAACCAAATCGCCGCCATTGTCACGCAGAGGAACAGAATCCACTGGGCGTCACTTCTCAAGCCCTTCAACCTCAACTCTTCCAATTTCACCCCTCATCTCTTCCTTCAGATCTTCCGCAAGACCCAATCTTATCCCGCTGCTTCTCTCTGCTTCTTCAATTATGCCAATAAAAATCTAGGGTTTAACCCAGACCTCAAAAGCCTTTGTAAACTTGCTGGGGTTTTGTACGCTTCCAGACTATCAACACAATCAAAACCCATATTGGATTCTCTGGTTCAAGCTTATCCTACAACCCTGATTGTCAGTTCATTGATTAAAGACATCGACTTTGATACTCGCTCTTCTCTGTTGAGTTCGTTGCTTGAGTGTTATTCCAATAGCCGTTTGCTTACTCAAGCTCTGGAAGTTTATCAGAAGTCAAAAGATTGTGGCGGTTTAGTTTCAGTTCATAGTTGCAATTCATTGCTAAGGGGGTTTCTAGAGAAAAACGAAATCAAATTGCTATGGTGCTTCTACTGTGGGATGATTCGAGACGGGGTTTCTGGGAATTTGTTTACTTGGTCTTTGATTGCTCAAGCTCTATCTAAAGATGGCAAATTTGAAAGGATCAAAAAAATTCTGGATATGGGTATATATAGCCCTGCAATGTATGATCTTATTATCGAGGGTTATAGTAAAAGAGGGGATTTTAAATCTGCTCTTTTAAATTTAGATGAAATGCATAATAAAGGATTTGATCCCAGCTTTAGTACTTTCAGCTTTATTCTAGACGGGGCTTGTGAATATCATGACGTTCAAGTGATTAATGATGTCATTACTTCTATGGTGGGTAAGGGATATCTTCCAAATCTTTTACCTAATGAATATGATTCAGTAATCCAGAAGTTTTGTCATTTGGAGAAGACATTTGCTGCAGAACTTTTTTACCGGAGAGCCAAAAATGAAATGGTTGACCTTAAAGGAACAACTTATTGCTCGATGCTAAGATCATTGTCAAATGCAAGACGAGTAAAGGATGCTATTGAGTTTTATAATTATATGGTGGCGAAGAATTTTGATATTATTGATAATGATAAATATCTTTTCCCGTTTCTGAGTGTGTTATGTGAAGAGAAACCTTCAGAGGATGTTAATAGACTGTTGAAAGGCTTGATAGAAAAGGGATTAACACTGCCATTAACTCCTTGTTTAGATAAAATCTCTAAGTATATAAATTCTCAATGTGAGAACCGTTGGTGGAAAGAAGCCGAGGAGCTTTTAAATGTAACTCTAGATAAAGGTATTTTGCCAAAATCTTTCTGTTTTACCTTGTTGGTGAAGCATTATTGTTTTAGTAGGCGGATTCATTCTGCTATTTCTTTGCATGCCAAGGTTGAGGGACTTGGTGGTAATTTTGATGTGTCCACATACGTTATACTGCTTAATGGCCTGTTTAGAGAAAAAGGAATTGATGAAGCGATCAGGATATTTGATTACATGAGAGCGCATAATGTGCTAAGCAGTGAGAGTTTTTCAATCATCATTAGAGGCCTTTGTCTTGAAAAGAATTTCGGAAAAGCCATGAGCTTGCATGATGAAATGTTGAAGATGGGGCTCAAACCTGATAGAAAGAAATATAAGCAGTTGATCTCTGGATTCAAGTGACTTGCTTAGTATCTGAAGACATGACTTGGAAAGGTAAGAACTATTGCTTTATTTTTATAGCAATCAGATTCTAATTTTCCTCCGACAAAAACTCAAATAGATCATTCAGGATTTTAGGAAATGCTGTTTTGGATTAATCATTTTTCGATTATAATAGGTGTGTACAAAGTGTCAAAGTTTTTAAACAAAATCTTTACACAATGGCCAATCAGTGTAAAGAGTTATGTAGACATTAAATAATTGATTAGTGATACCGACAAGGCGGTAATATTTATGTTCACCACTTCCCCATAACATATACAGATACACTCGTGCGTGCACATACTTTACCTATAATTAATGCGCATCATTCAGAATTCTTCTTGATTATTATGTTTACCCTTCACCACTATGCAGTTATACTTCTTATGCCCCACAATGTTTTACAAGAGAAAGTGACACAGAAATTAAGATAAAGTGGTATACTGGTATTATGTTGTTGAGAATTGATAATGAACTTATATAGCATGAATGATTATAATCCACATAATTATATGCAATTATGGTTTGAGAGAAACTTTAAAAAGGTAGGACAAACAAATGTGACAGGTGGGATATAAATTTGTACTCTAAATTATTATATTGTCTATATACAACTATGGGATTTTAGCTCGATTCATTTATGACGGATATAATCTGAACATTTATCCAACCATTATTTTAACAATTTCTGTTGTTTTTGATTTTTTTGCTAGTATTATATGGTTAAAAAGAAACATATAGCTGTTAAACCAATACGTTTGTCCAACACGCTAAGACGATCCACTAGCCACTGTTAAGGGGCTAATAGCTGAACTAGATTTGGCCCATTACAAGGAGGGTGTGACTTATGAGAACGATTGATATGTATACTATATACTCCGTATTAATTAACTTAAAGAGAACTTCTAATAAAGTAATACATATTGTATGTGTTCCATTTGGATGTTATGCTCCTGATTCCTTATTTGATTGTGACCCCGCCCCTCATAAAAAACTATTTTTTCTTAAAGAATCTAAATCTTTCTTATGATTGGGTTTTGTGGCTGTCCACCATCTTCTAGACTTTATTTTTTACCCCACATTTGTCTGATTCTTTTTTTATCATTCTCTTTCCTCAAAACTATCTCTCATTTCAAAACAAGAAAAAAGAATCAGGAAAAACTTAAAACACTATTGATGTTAATCCTCTTTAAGCAAAGAACCGTCTTTATAATATTTTAATTGTTTTTTGATACTTATTTTTGTCCTTTTATCTGCCAATTTGTATTTTCACTCATGGAACCATCGATTCGGATTTTAATTCAACATTTTTATTCTTGGCGTAATTAACCATTTTGGTTATTCTGCATGAATGCTTTAAAAAAATATTATTTTACAATACTTGAAGGAAGATTATAAAGAATGTTGTTGTGAGGACAAGAATGGAGAAACCTTCTGTTTTTCATCTCCTTTCTTGTTCTACCATACTTCCATTAACTCATCTTTGACAAGGTAATTATTTGTTTTGTTTTTGTTTCGTTTTGCATGATGGATCAATCAATTCATTTTTCTTTTTTCTGTTTGCAGTAATCAGTTTGTCTCTGCCATTGGGTTCTTATCAAATGATCTATGATTTTTGATTACCCAAAAGAGACAAGAATATTATTTTTAAAAATCTAAAAACCTGATACCGACATATTATGATTCTTGGGTTATAATAATTTCACCACTGCAATTAGCATGTAAAATGGATTTTCTCTTTTATGAATCATGCGGGAGTGTTTATGTAAAATTGTCTTCATTATGTAAGAGTAGTCTATCTTATGTTTAAGATGCCTATCAATGAACATGCATTTTAATGTATATATTAGCATGTCTAGTCAATTGTTTTAATACATGGGAAAATTACAAGAAAAAAGATTGATGAATTAAAGTTTTGTGAAATTGTTATTGGCAGGAAGAGGAACAACTTGAACTTAGTGCTTATTGCAACACTCTCCTAGGATCAGAAGGCTGCTATTTTGGGCTGATTTTTTTTTTAGTCTCTTTCATGGATGCCATGATGAAGGGGACTTTCAAAGCGGGATTTAAATACATTTCAAATATTTTTGGTATAGCCTTTCTGCTCACCAAATAAGTTTATTTTTTCATGTAATCATTGTTTAATTTTGACAAGCCAATAAAAAAGAGGAAAAATGTTTATAGTGATGAAGGAGGAAGATATCGAGATCGGTTACCCAACGGATGTTAAGCATGTAGCACACATCGGGTGGGATGGCCAATCTGCAGGCAGTGCACCTACTTGGGTATGCATTTATCAATCTTTCATAATTTAATGTTTTGTTAAATAAAATTACAAAATTTGACTATCTAATCTATTACCCTTTCCATTGAGACATGTTTAAACATTTTTTGTCCTCAAAACTGAGTCTATTTTTATCGAACAGGGCTAAACTCTATATAGTTTCTCAAAATTAGTCCTTCCATTGAAAAATGTTTAAACATCATTTCTTAAAAGAGTTAATTTTTATCTCACAGAGCTAAACTGTATGTAGTTTGTCAAAAACTTGCTTAAAATAGCAGCCACATCTAATAAAAAGTTGTTCCAAGGGGAAACAGTAGATGCTTGTCATTAGAATGAGCAAAACATAATCAGTAAAAGTAGAAAGGATTACTTATTTGGCTCAACAAGATTTTACAAGCACTTTCCATTCAGAAATTTCAGCCAGCCATGTCACTCGAATTACCCTTACCAGAGGTTCCTAATAAAAAAGTATGATGATTTGTGATAGTTGTACTATTCCAAAATAAAAACATAGCACATTCAATATAATATCAAATATTGTACGGGGTAAAACATTAACCTGATCTCTTAGTTTCTAATATTCATTACAAAATATAATTGTTCTTTGTTAATATGGAACTGAAGATGAAAGAGTTCAAGGCCGGACCGGACTTTACTTCATCCTCAATCAGTAACAGTGGTCGTAAACCATCGTCACCAGAATTTTGCAAAGACGATTCAACAGCTACAAGAGAGATCAGTGGGGCCACCCAAACGAGGAAACAGAAACGAAAGAAGTCTAGAGCGGTGTCTTCTGGGTCCAGTTTCTCCTCCATGTCACGGGCCCCACCCAAGTCTAAGGCTAAGCTAGCGGAAGAAGACGGTAGTCCCAATCCTGCGGACATACATGTCATCTAAGCTCAAGGTGTGTACTAGATGAGGGATTTTTTTTCTTGAAAGTTGCTTTTGATTTAGTATTTTTCTCACCTTATGAGGCTACAATACAAACCTACAATTTAATGTAAACCATCATTTTATAACTTCAAGTAAATTGTACAGTGACATTTTCACTTTTAATAATCATAATGTCCTATACGTAATTGAGTATTTGGTTAATTATATCAGGGTTTAATGCATCAAACTCGTTGTGACATAGGAATTGAGCTCATTATCTCTCGTGATTTGAAAAAAGTGTCGATCCTCTTGAACTCTCGTTAGGATCAACTCAGGGGAGAGGGGTGTAGTATAAGCTGGGGTATGTGCCCCCATCTCATAAGCAATACCATAGAAATTATTTTTGCCCCCTCCCACATGCCATACAGCTGAGAGTACAACGACAACTCTTAGTGCAAAGTTGCAAACATTAGGATGCTTTTTGTTGGACTGGTTTTAACTCCGGACCAAATCAAATATGACTAGACCTGATCAGACTTAAACAATAAAGTACATATAATAGATACATCTAATTTTATTGGGGCGTTCTACAAAAGTTTAGCAAACTAAGAACATTCAAAGCAAACAAAGAAAGAATCATGACATTCTCAAACATTTTTATTACGTTCCTTTGTATTTCAACTAAGATTTATTAAAAATATTGTCAAATAAAATAACCTACAAGTAACATGATCTACGCTATATTTATACGTTGAAATTGAACTATCGTCCAATCTATACACGTACCCAATAGCAGTCTAATGATGTTTTCATTGGTAATTTATGATCTGATCTGCTCTTGACTTCTTGTATGATTTCATTGATTTATTTAAGTGTATTTTTGTTTGATTTGGCCTGATTTGAAATGCAAACAAGTGTAGACATCCTAAACTTTATAGTATTTTTTTATTATTACTTAATAAATCAAACTCTTGCTCAAAATTTGATATTGAACCGCATGTGAATACATACGAAGTAGAGAATTTGTGTATTTTGACTAGGCAGGGACTCGGGCCGGGTGGCCCGACCCGGAACCGGACCGTCACTGTTTGGGCCTGGCCCGAACCGGTGGCCCGGCCAGGGACCGGTCCACGTAGGCCCGGCCCGGGGGGTTTACGGTGCGTGCTCGGGTCACCCAAAAGACGAACCGGCCCGGCCAGTCCGGGCCTGGTTCCGGGCTTTTTTTTCAATTTTTTCTTTTATTCTGGGTTGGGGTTGGCCGGCTGGGTGTTTTGGGATGTTTTGGGGGGGGGGGGTCGGGGGTTAAGTAGAAAAAGCAAATAAATAAATAAATAAACTAACAAGCCCGAGGCCCGGCCCGTACCCGGTGGGGACCCGGGCCGGTTCCGGGCCTTCCCCCAAACCTCAAAAGCCCGACCGGGCCTAGGCCCGGCCCGGGCCCATGCATAATTTTGACAAGTTGTTTTGAAAAATAGACCGCATGTTCTTACCGTTAATTGTGTATGCTTTGTCATTAAAAACATTTTATAAACTTCAATTGTGTAATGTTTTAATCTCTTCGATAGCAACTCATCAGTAGCCGACTCTCTTGCAATAATCGCAATTTGTCATGTTTGACTGACATGAGAAATAATAAAGTATTAAGATTTCTGCGAGAGTGAGCAATAATAAGAAGCACAAATTCATGATTGAAATGAAAAATGATAAAGTTTTGAAACATCCGAAAAATGAAATATTATAATATAAAGTTATAAGGGGCAAACAAGGAAATAGTACACACATAACGAGTATCTTTATTAATTTTAATTTCACAAACAAGGATGGGGTGCGGGGGGACAACCTCCCTTTAAACTTAGAAAATTTCTATTATATACTACGTATTTAATATTTTTAATAAAATTTTCATGCTTTAATTTGATGAATACTCTTTTCATAATAAATTTATGGTTTTACATAATACTTGATAGGAGTTGTAAAAGGAGAAAAAGCCTAAAATATATAGTTTACTTTAGTTTTTTCTTCTTGGGCACCAATGTTATTAATTTCTTGATCTGAACAAATAAATAATAGATCAACTCTTGCTTTAATTTAATACTTAAGATAATCATTCTATAAAAATAAAGTGTTATATTTGTGAAACTTGTCTTCAATAGACAAAAAATAGTTAATTTAGTAAACTAAAATACAGTGATATTTATTTTAATAAGTGAGTTTTTTGGCGAAACTTGAAAATATTCATTGAACTGCACATTAAGCTAAGTCCTCTTTTTATTATAACCAACTCCTATAAATAATACTACGGTAATATATTTAATAAAACTTTTGAAAGTAGACATGATAAAATATAAACGCCATCCCAAATCTATCCGATTTCACTAGATTACGAAATTTGACTAATTAATATAGAATGATGTTAATGGTTTTTAGTTTTTACATAACATTTACATTCACCACATAAGAACATTGTTTATAAATTTAGAAGCAAATGTGTTAATGACTTAATGTTGCACATTATCTAGGGAAAATGGAAACTAATAATCCAACCTTTTAGCGGTTTTCTTACAATAATCCAACCTTTTGGTTATTCATGAATAATCCAACCTTTGCACCTCATCTTCATTCACTGGTCCCCGATCGGTTGATGACCTGCTATTCCAAGCTATTTTCTTATCTTTACAAAATATTATCTTTGTGAAAGATAAAATTTATGGTATAATGATTTGCAAAGATAAGAAAATATCTTGGAATAGCAGGTCATCAACCGGTCAAGGACCAGTGAATGAAGATGTGGTGCAAAGGTTGGATTATTCATGAATAATCAAAAGGTGGGATTATTAAAAGAAGACAGCTAAAAGGTTGGATTATTAGTTTCCATTTTCCCCATTATCTATAAGCAGTTCTAAAGGATCATAATTATACCCTCGAGTATTAATGAGTGCAGCATTTAAGACCTAGGTTAAATAATCTATTGTAGTTGTATTTTTTTTTCCTTTGAAAACTAGTATAAAAAGCATGTGTTTTGTTTTGGTTTGACATACGTAGTATTTATTAATAAAACGATTAAAAAAGAAAAATTTGTGGTTAAAATTTGAGTATAATAAAATCAAATGCTATTGAGTACGCATTTCTTTCTAAAAGGGAAAATTACCATTGAGCCCCTTGGGGTTTGACTTACTACTCACACACATGCAATATAAAAAATGTACTCTTGTCTTTCTCCATATCTTTTAGTGATGGTAATTGGTAAAGTAACCTGTAATTTACATATAGAGAAAACTATAGATATAGTTCCATTACTTTTGATTGTGTCTGTTTTCAATGTTTTAATTTTATTCAATCACAGACATGATCGTGTAAATGATAAAATTGTCCATATAAAATACCCTTCCGTCAGAAACCGAACCTAATAAAACAAAAAACAATCAATTCACCAACATACGTTTTAGGCATAAAATAATATTGCAAACGTCTAAATTGATTGAATGAGTTTGTGGTTCTTCTTTTATCTCCATCTTCTATACAAACATCAAAAACCCAAATTTTATTTTATTATCTATGTGTCGATCAAACTTAACAAAATTTTAAGAGACGAAAGAAATGTTTTTTAAGAAATTGATTTGTTCTAACGTACTTGCATTGGGTGCTCATATAATAATTAATGATTTTACAACAATATATAATTATATATGAAATATAGATATATTGAAACCATGAAAAATAAAAACAGAGAGGATGGCTATTTTACTAGTCTACTACTACGTATTTAGAGAATTAGAGCTAGAAAACTTGATTTGGCCACCTTAGCTAAGCGCCTAAGCTCGTGGCAAGGTTTCGGATTAAGTCACTCCGTAGTGAATTTGACACTTTTCTGATCGAGGTAGTTTGAGTAATGAAAGTTAATTTCTTACTAAGAAACTTACTCCGTACTATTTTTGTCGTGAACCTGGCGTTAAGAAGAAGAAGCTAAGCCCCTGATCAAAAGCCTAAAAACCCTTGATTTACTTATTAATCCTACGAAGGGCTGGCTAGCTAGCTTTCGAGCGGCCATCCTAATACTCGTACTCGTGCTCACTAGAAACCTAGCCCAGTACATAGGATCGAGTAATGGGGGCGAACTAGCCCATCCTGATACTCGTGCTCACTCGTGCTCACTTTCCAGCGGCCTATCTAGGATTTTTTTTTGAGTGGGGGCGAACTTTTACTAGAACTTAGTCACATGTTTCACAAATTGCAAATCACATTATTGATATTGTTTAATTAGACTTACTTTAAGATATATGTACAAGGAGAAATATTCTTGTCCGGTCAGGCTAGAAATTTCACAATTGACTAATTAAACTTAGTCACGTATTTCACAATTGGTACGGCCACCTCAATTGGATGTAATTCCCAGTAGTATTGTTCACTCAATTTTTTAACATGTTCGCCATGAAGTGTAGATGATCTCCGCCAAATGTGAGCAACAAATACAATCAGGAAGATAGTTAAACTATTTTTTGAAGTTAACTGCGTTTTATGTGTATATTTTGGCGCAATTAACTTCAAAAATCGTTTGATTGTCTTCCCGGTTGATTTTTTTCTCAAATTTAGTGGAGATCATTTCACTTCATGAGAAACATGCTAAAAAAAATTGAAAAATATACCACCGGGAACCACCGCCAATCATGAATAATGAAAATTCTCCACTCAATCGGTTACACCTACGAGGAACACACACAACCTTTAGATGTTCCCTAAATTTTTGTACTCCACGCCGCGAGAGCGGTTACGTTAGAACTTAGTATTGACCAGTGTTGCTCAATTACATAATTTTCATGTGATTGAGCCTGATCAGCATGAAATCTAGGGAACATTGCTGATCAGATTTCAGCGATTTCAGTGTGATTGAGCAGATTTCAGGTTGATCAGGCTCAATCACATGAAAATTATGTAATTGAGCAATGCTGGTCAATACTAAGTTCTAACTTCTTTCATCATTTCAAAGTGTTTCTATTTTTATTTTTTACTAGTTATTACTATTTTTTAAAAACCAGGATCAGCATCCCATAGCTCTACTTGATAAAAGCAAAGAAGACATACTGTGAAATAATGGGAAAGAGGTACTTCAACAGGAGTCCTGACAGATATATTTATAATAGAGGAGTTGCCAAAATACAAAGTATTCCTAAATAGATATTAGGCAGATTCCTAAATATATATTAGGCAG